TTTTTATTATTATTATTATTATTATTATTATTATTATTATTATTATTACTACTACTACTACTACTACTACTACTAGTAGGACTATTATTATTATTATTATTAGTATTACTACTACTACTATTACTAGTACTATTATTATTATTATTATTATTATTATTATAATTGTTATTGTTATTATTATTGTTGTTGTTGTTGTTTTATTATTATTATTGTTGTTTTATTATTGTTATTTATAATTTGTACAATTAACCTCTTTGTGGTTTGACCCCGGTCTTGCCGGATTATTTATTACTTCGACACTCCTGTACTTGGGAGAAGACATCAATCTTTTAGTCGTGTCAAAGAACAAAAAACCTAACATTATGAACTGAAATCCATTGAAATCAAAATGACATCTAGGCTAGCCCTTTGTCCCATGCTACACAAAATAAAATAAAAGGACCAAATAAAAAAGAAAAATCTAGGTATTGGTAACATGTCTTTAAAAGAAATGAAAATATTTTATCCATGAATTTAAAATCAGTTGCATATTAGAAAATATTTTTATCTAATATTGAGAAAAAAACACATTGGATCAATTGAGGTTATTCCGAATTAACATGCGAAAGTTACAAGGATAATCTTGAAATAAACAAATTGAAACCTAAATTTCAAATTAATTCAATATTAAAGGATAAAATTCATAAAAAAAAAACCATTTTTTTATAGAAAAAACCTAAGATAACTTGAGTCCACCAACCAAAATTTCGATACAAGTTATGTACATCATTGAATTCATTAAATTTTTTATTTCAAATATTATCTTTTATTTAATAGATATATGTAATAATTAAAAAAAATGTGATATTTTCAAATGAAATATTTTTTATAAAGAAAAAAAATACATGACAGACATGTGATTGAGATGGCAAAAGCAAATCTTTGATAACAAAGGACAAAATATCATTTTTTTAATTTTAAGTTAATTAAACAATAATGAGGTACTAAGAGTGCATTCAACAAAAAAAAAAACAATTGACTAAATCTTACAGCTTAATTTGTCAAACTTGTAATTCGTATCATATCACTAACTAATCAGATTAAATGTTTTTATTTATCTAAAAAAAAGGGCCAAAAAAGCCCAACAATATTGGTCTATGGCCTAATGCACAGAGCCTCTGAAAGGAATAACCCATGCATGCAGGCTTTTCAGCCGAGGCTCTTGCACGCAGGCTTGTATTTTTTTTCTCATTTATAAGGGCACGTCACCCCTTTTTATTTCTTTCATTTAAAATATGAAGACAATGCATCACCCATCAATTTCATCTCCCAGCATAGATTTTATCCATTATTATGGTAGTTGAAAAATAAAGGTTATGGATTTTTAATTCACTAAACCCATTTCCCAACCCATTTAAAGTCGAAAACACCTAAAAATTAGTCCTAGGACATGAAACCAATTTAGCATCCTAAGAAAGCTAGAAAAACAACTCAAATCACATAATCATATCGAACTAATTTTCTCTTCCTCAACTTGGATATGTTTGTTGGCAAAATAAATGTTTAAAACCCTCACCAAATATAATTCATTAACACTAATTTCAACTATTTGGTGGTAAAGATAGGTATAAACGATAACTCTCTCTCTTTAAACTAAAATCTAGTAAGCTTCTTTTTTTCCTCTAACAGAAAAAAACTAAAAAATAAGAGAAATAAACTTTGATATCAAAATTGAATTTCTGAAAACTAAAGGGACTAATCACCTATAGGTCAAAAAATAAGGGACTATATTTAACTTTTTGTATGAAATTCATAGTCACCATCTATGTCACCTCCCGAGACTTTCACTTTAATCTTCTGATTTTTAATCCAACTAAAAAATGCTTAACTATGAAAAAACAATTAAGGATCAAATTATTTTTTTAAAAAAAAATTAACTATTCTAATCTATTGTGATTCATGAGAGAGTGTATAGTGAAAATGACTACATTGAAAACCCCATATATTTTATGTTTACACTTAATGATGTGTAGAAATTTCTCCAACATTAAATACTTGGACAAATATATTAAATTTATTAATTTTTGTTATCATCAAAATAAATAAACCATAAGGGATTAAAACCTTCGGGTTAACATATAATGCGCACGCGCGCGCGCACTAAGCTTTTAAATAAAAGCTTTAAGACATGTTTGGACTTGAATTAAGCTCATGGGCCTAACATCTTTTTTATTAGGCCCATCTTTTTTATTACAGTGAGTAGACTATATATCATCTACTCAACATTAAAATTATAGTAAATAATGTGTCATCTATAAAATAATCTTCCAACTATCTCCTCTAATGACCAAAAAAACAAGTCTTAATTTCTTAACCTTTAAGGTCTTTTTTCAATTTATTTTGACCGGTAAATATCTCTAAAACATACTTGAAACCTAAATTATTTATTCCAAATGAGCCTAAAAATCAAAAATAAAAAATGAATCTTAAAACTTTATCTAGAATGGTTAATGGAAAAAAATTAATATTATTGAACTTCCATATTAAAGATGAACTCATTAACACCGATATTAATATTTTTTATAGTCAAAATATGGTCGAGCAAATTCTCTCTTTCTCCTCTTTGTTTTTCTATGATTTTCTCTCTAATATCTCAAAATATAGGGATTGAAACATTATGATAGTAAATTGTAAAGATTGAAATATAAAATCATAAAACTCTAGGGTCCAAATTGAAAAAATGAAAACCATAGAGGCCAAAGTGAACTTTTACCACTATTCCCTTGTCCTGATGTCCATATTGCGTTTGTGAGTAGAGGAACATGCAAAGTACTTTGTATATTTTATAATATAATTATAACCAGTGAAAAACTAATTCGTGGATAAAAAAGCTACACAAAAAAAAAAACCCTATGAGGTTATAAACCTCAAAGATATCATACACTATATAGAGTCTTAATATTACTATAAAATAATTTCTTATAACAATTTTATTTTTAAAATATAAGAAATTCTCAATTAAAGTTTTTCATCATTTGAAAGATTTTCAAATTATATTTTTTTAATAAAAAACTACAGTATTTGCAGCAATTTATAATAGCAGCAGTACTAATGAAATTAAGAACGTGTATGACCGAAGCCATTACCAAAGCTTGTTGACTGTCCAATAAAAAGAGGGCAAAAAAATAAAAAATAAGAATCCTAGTGGTGAATATATTTATAAAAGCAATGTCGTGGTTTTTGAACGAGAAACATTACAAGCTTGAGGTTTCCATGTTTGACCAGGCATCTTCATAGCCGTAACTGAAGCTTGTCTCCCATTCTGTTGTTTTTTCAAACTTTCATACGTGATGTGTTATAGTCCCAGATGATTCCAAGGGGAAGGTGAAGAAGAACACAAGCCTATAACTGTACGATGATATGCAGAAACCAAGAGAGGAATGAAAAACGTCAAGCTTTGAATTCAGCAAAGCATTCGTGGTTGTTGACTTGAACTTCGAAATTAAAATAGTAACTAGCTTTGAATGAATGATATTTCTACCACGTTATTGACATTTCTATTCAAACCCCTTTATTAATCTCTTCTTGATATTTTCTTCTGAGAATTCCACGACTGCTCCAACTTCTGAAGCTTGCTTCTCCTGAATTTATTTATATATAACGTAAGACCACCGGGGGGTCAAGATTGTCACACATAATATCCTGCAGTCACAGCCTCACAGATCATAGCCTCCACTGTACTTTATTGGAATATTATTGAGATTAGATGATATGTCTTTTCTTTTTCTTTTTCTTTTTAATTTTTTGATGGGAGTATATATATATATATATGATTATGATTGTTTGATTGCCTGAATTGTCCCCTTTTATGCACCCTTCAGAAAGAGAACAAGTAGCTAGCAATCTAAAGATTAAATATTTTCAATTTATTTCAATTTTATATTCAGAAACACTTTTCTGAATAACTTTGATCAGGTCCCAGATTGCCTTCATAAAAGCAAAGTGCATCCATTGGTGTCTGACAGTGTATGGGTTTATCGCTTTCCTTGTTATCCTCAGCCTGGAAAGAGATTGTCAGGCGCAGCATGTTTTCTTTGGCGTACGACGTGTGTTTAAGCCCTAAACATGATGGTGTAACTTCGAGATCACATAGCTTTAAGCTAATAAATACAGAAACCACGACCAAGCCGATAAAGTCTAATACGAATAACATTAAGAATTCAAGAAAGTTGAAGTACTGTGCACCTGTAACAGTATCGCTGGAGCAATCTTTGTCATTCAAGAGTCTAGTTCAAGACAAGGGGGAATTGGGTTTGAATAGTTTCAATGGAAGAGATGGATTGCTGCAGAAACAAGTGCCTGAATTTTATTTTTCACCGAGACCGGTAAGTGAGCTTGAAGCTGCTGCAGTTAAAGTTCAGAAGGTTTATAAGAGCTACCGGACTAGAAGAAATCTTGCAGATTGTGCGGTTGTGGTTGAGGAGCTCTGGTTAGTCCTTGGATAATCTGCAATTGCCAAGAGATTGCTTATCTTGATGTTTTTGGTGGATGGTTGAAATTGGTTTGTTTGATACATTGCAGGTGGAAGGCCTTGGATTTTGCTGCTCTCGAGCGGAGTTCTGTGTCATTCTTTAATGATGAGAAACCAGAAACTGCTGTTTCAAGGTGGGCAAGGGCTAGAACAAGGGCTGCCAAGGTACCTTCTTACAGATTTCTAGTTTCAACAGCTTAATGTTTCATATTTCCATAGAGAAACTGAAACATTTCGTTTCTTTCTAACTACAATCAAGTGGATATTTAAGGAAGTGATCTCTCATTGCAGGTGGGAAAAGGTTTATCAAAGGATGAGAAAGCTCAGAAGCTAGCCCTGCAACATTGGCTTGAAGCTGTAAGTTGTTTTCAACACTTCAATGTGAAACTGTAACAATGCCAAGTGGGCTTGATTGGAAACCATTCCTATCAACATTAAGCAGAAGCTTGGGCTTTTCTTTTGCAACATGATAGCAATGGTCTAACGCAAATTAACTCTGCTTTTTGTTATGGATAATAGATTGATACACGCCATCGATATGGTCATAATCTCCACTTTTACTATGATGTCTGGTTCAAAAGCGAGAGCAGCCAACCTTTTTTCTACTGGTAAGTACTTTCTCAAACTGCTGTCTGGTAAAATTGATACTTGGAAGTTCGATATAACATTAACAGAATTCGAAACAACGAATATTGTGGCTTTCAGAAAGTCCTTTCTGCAATGGGATAACTAATATCACACAACTACATTTCAGCCCTCTTTCTTCCTTTTTGACTGACAATGTCCTGTGCAATGAAATGAAGGTTGGATGTTGGAGACGGCAAAGAAGTAAATCTAGATAAATGTCCAAGGCCCACTCTGCTCCTTCAATGCATCAAATATCTTGGACCGGTAAGCTACAGGACAATTCTATACTAATCTTCAGCACACAAGATTCATTAATCTGATGTTCTTATGTTCCAGAAAGAAAGGCAAGCGTATGAAGTAGTAGTTGAAAATGGGAAGCTTGTTTACAAGGAAAGCGGAATGCTGGTGGATACACATGAAGGTTCCAAGTGGATATTTGTGCTTAGCACGGCGAGGGCTTTGTATGTGGGGCAAAAGAAAAAGGGTAGGTTTCAACACTCTAGTTTTCTAGCCGGCGGCGCGACAACAGCCGCTGGAAGATTGGTTGCACACGATGGGATTCTTGAGGTAAATTTTCATTATCATCATGCTCGTACACACGCTTGTTAATTTAATTTACATCTCCAGTCTCCGGCACCACATTAATTAATTCGTCAAGGACCTGAACAAGCTCGCTTCTAATGTTACGCAGGCTATATGGCCATACAGTGGACATTACCACCCAACAGAAGAAAACTTCAAGGAATTCATTAGCTTTCTCCAGGAAAACCACGTCGATCTTACCAACGTTAAGGTATGCTGATGTTCCTGTATATTTGTCCACAACATTAGACACAGCTATCTTACATATGCGGCATTTGTTCCTGTATATTTGGGTGACCATGTCCAATTTGTGCTTTGAAATTAGTTTCAGTACAGAATAGCTGATGAGTGGTGCTGTTTCCTCTTATCATTTTATAAACAGAGGTGTGCAATTGATGACGACAGTCCTTCAATAAAGGCAACTGAAGAGGAACAAAAACCAGAGTCTATGTCGGGCCCCGCTGATGTCTCACAGTTGAACGATGCAAATGCAACCTATCATCTAGACGCTGCCGCCATCATAACCGTTGATCTAGCAGACAACACCATCACTAACAGTAACAATCCGCCGGCTACTGTATTTGACTTGACCGCACGATTGCCATGCAATTGGACCTCTGGGGCTGGGGCCCGGATTGGGTGTGTGCGGGACTATCCTAAAGGACTACAATCAAAAGCGCTTGAACAAGTCAACCTGTCGCCTCGTGTGGGTCCTGGGCATCTGGCTAACTATGGCCCGGTCCCTTCTCCACGCCCGAGCCCTAAGGTCAGGGTCTCACCTAGGCTTGCATACATGGGAATTCCCAGTCCTAGGACCCCAATTGCTGTAGCTAACTAGTGCATCATTTCATGCTCACCGAAGAAGAAGATGACGGAGGGGATTGAGGGACTAACTGTATTCTTTACTCTCCAAGGTTTGGGGATTTAATCTTTCTTGATTTATTACTTCATTTTTTTTTCCCTTCTTCTTTGATGGCTTACTTGGGCCAAGTACTGTTAAGTGTTCGTGTTTTGTATGTCTTGTAATCAAGGAGTTGATGTAGTTTTTTTCTTTTTTTTTTTAGATGCATATAATCTGATTTATTTATTTATTTTACTGTGAATTCGTTTGGCAGCCTTGTTGGTTTTTTTACTATACAGGATAATTGTAACCATAACATGAAAAACTGCACCCTCCATCCTATTTTATGAATTTCCAATGTCGTTCTCAGTTTTTTTTTTTATTATTATTTACAACTTTATATTTTTGTTTTTTCAGAAAATATATTTCATTAATATTAAAAAACAAAAATTAATATATTATAATTTTCACATGACCTCGTGCGGAAAACGACAAGTATCTAAAGTGTGTTTAATATTAAGATTGTTGTTGTGGTTGTGGTTTTAAAAAAATTATTTTATTAAAAGTACTTTTAGTTAAAGTTGGTTTAGAAAAATATATATTTGGTTAAAACTGCAGTTGAAATTGAGGTTAAATGAAAAATAATTTAATATATTTGATTAAAAAATACTTTTTAAATTGAGATTATAAAATAATATATATATATATATTAATGATTTTTAATTTAAATATTGTAGATTTAACTACTGTTATTTCATCATGAAATAAATAATATTAATATCAAATATTTTTTATTATTTCATTAAACTATATGCAATGTCATCACATACAAAATCTATCCAACAAGGGTTATATTTTCCAGAGTTTCTTAAGCGCCCAACAACAAAAACTGAATTTTTTGTTACATCATCAAGTGATCTCCTTCTAATTTTTTGAATAAAACACAATTAAAATAAAAATAAAAACTGAATTTTTTGTTACATCATCAAGTGATCTCCTTCTAATTTTTTGAATAAAACACAATTAAAATAAAAATAAAAACTGAATTTTTTTAACCGGGTCGGACCCAGTAATAACATAATTGAAATTGCGATCAAATTCCACAAATGCTACATAATTATACAATATTCTTCTAATTTATGTAGTGTTATTAAATAATATTAAATACTAATTTTTTAAGTAAAACATAATTTTAAAAACATTTACAATTTCATTACGTACAAAATTCATTCGATAAGAACTACAGTTTCCATAATTTTTTGAGCGTGCAATAAAATTAGATAAAATATTATCAGGAATAAAATTAAGATTATAGTACGAGTAAATTTAATTCACCTTAAACTACTTTTAAAAAAAAACAAAAACAAATTACTATTCACGTTCATGTGAACAATACGAGTGAAATCAATTAAATGCATTGGTTTTTCAGGAAAAAAAACTAAACTTTTCGCACTGGTTTCTCAGAAAAAAAAAATATTCATATGAACAATGCGACAGTGGAGCCATGCTTCACTATTGTGGTTTCTCACCTACGAGAAGCAGCAAAATATTGCTTCTATAAAACCTATAGCATGGCTGACACGACCAAAATATTGATGTCTTCTCCCAAATATAGGAGTGTCGAAGTAATAAATAACCTGGTAAAACCGAGGTCGAACCACAGGGAAGTTAATTGTACAAATTATAAATAACAATAATACAACAACAATAACAACAATAATAATAACAACAACAAGTTCCTTTCATAGCTCAGGTGTCGGTTATACCATACATTATGGGCTATGAAAGTGCCAAGCATTTGTTGTACCAAGTGTTATACAACATAAATCAAGATTAGTCATTTAACAAGCAAAGTATTAAAGAGTGAACAAGATAGCAAATATAAAACATGTTAGTATCAAACATTAAAGTCCATATTAAGTTTACATTATACTTATTCTTACACCATTAGTGTAACCTTTTCACCTTGACATAATAAACTTAGCTAGACATAATGAAAGAAAGCAAAATAGATAAACAAAATAAGAACATAAATAAGATAAAAGTTAGCTAAGTAAATGAAAGGAAATGAAAGGCATAAACTTGATATTAATGAAAGCAAAGCATAAACATTACAAAAAATACAAAGAGAGAAAGCAAGAGCATGATCTTGATCTGGAAACCAACATGCCTAAATGCATGACAAATACATCATTTTGTAGGTCAAAATTGGGAACTATTGATTTGATGACTAATTGATGAGTAGGTGACCAACTCTTGAC